ACTAATGCCAGTGCAGCTCTGTGACTGGTAGTAATAACACCAGAGCTTGATTAGACAAGGTATCAGTGGTTTTGTCATGATAGGTCTGTGAGGGACTATGCAGTTTGAAAAACTGTAGTAGCTTCCACCCCACCATCTCTTGGCAGTCAACAACACTGCCAAGCCAAGGCCTTTGATTCCTGGCCTGCAAAGCACAGCGCTTCTTGGGTGGCACCAGGCAGCTTAGCGTCTGAGTTTGGCAGGAGCCGGGGCACTCAGCATCTTTCCTCAGATTTTCAGTTTAGAGAGGGTCAGCCCGGTGAAGTGAGTCGTTAAGATGCCTGACTCATTTACTGAGGGCAATCTGCAAAAGCGATTTAACAGCACTGAGTGACCCTTAAAGCCCATTCATCAACAGTAGTGCTTCGAAGTGCTTTTTTTCCCTTTGCTGCTTAAATGAAACAGGGAAATTAAATGCAGAAATGACTGCTGATCTCTTGACTTGAATACTGCATTAATGTTAGATTTGCCTTTAACTTACACATCCTATTTAAAATGAAAGCTGCCGTTGTAGTTACATGTTTCCTGTATCTCCATATTCAGAATTTTGTTATCATTGGCTGTTCTTTTAGGTTTCAAGATTTCCTCCAGTCCTTATAAACACTACAGGAAAGTAATCTCAAACTCAGAAAAAAAGGGATTTAATTCTCAATCAAAGAGATTTCAGTATAACCAAGTGAGTAACAAAAATGTTTGAAGTTTATGTCTTTGTTTTGAATTTTTTGCAACTCATAATGATCCTGTTTTGTAACAAGAATAGCAACTACATTTAGATCAAGGTTGTTAAATTAACTTTGTAATCACAACTGATAACAGTATGAGAAAAGTGGTAATGCAGTAGTATTGGTTTAAACCTTGAAATTACTCTCCATATAGCATCCTTGTCTCTACCAGCTCCCCATCTCCCACCCACCCAGCTTAGGCCCTGGTCCCATTTCCAATCTTCCTGAGCTCGCCAGGACACATACATATATGTTGCGTTCCTTCTGAAATTCAGGAGCAAATTCAAAGAAATCAGTGGAGTGATGCCTGTGTAGTGATAAAGATGCCCCCTCCTACCTTTTGCTGGTTTTCACCCTGAGCCTTCCCTGATTTGTAGGAATTACACTGGTACATCTGTTATCTGGCCAGCAGAGGGAAGCAGAAAGATATATTAAAACCACACTGTTTTCCCAGCCTGCACTCTGCAGCGTTCCTTTTCAAGTCCAGCCAACGCTCACAGGTGCCAAGGGCCTCCTGGGCTTTCTGGATCCAGCTTTCAAGCTACTTCCTCTGCTGGTGGAAAGAGGATGCCCATGGCCCCTGCTGACAGTCTCCTGCTGTCTGGTGACTACGTGGTAACCCCAGAACTCTGAAAATTAAGTATATTAAGAATTTCTGAAACTTTGTGGACCAGGTATGTAAAGTAGGTAAATCAAGGAAGTATTTGGCATCTTCCTTCTTTCTTCTTCTGCCTTTGGCATCTTCTCTTTCTTCTCCTTCCTTTGATCTGTTCCTCCTTGCTTGTCTCTCCCATCTCAGTGATATCAGGAGTGTATTATCTCAGGATTGAATAACAGCAATCAAGGACGTAAAGGACAGAAGATGAGGGAAAATGATCAAGGTAGAGAAGTTGCTTAAATACCTTCTGTAGGCGCCATCAGTCTGTCTGGTCAGCTTCCAGGAGTTCCAGATGACCTGATGCTAAGTTCTGACTAAAAGAGAAGAGGCAGAGTCTTAAGGTAGCTTCACAAAGCACTCCCTTCCCTTTGAGAATTTCCTGCTTGAAGGGCAGAGCAGGCAGGAAGCCAAACCACAAGCTACACAAGGGCTTGGCTGATTCTTTCTTAAGCTTTATCCCTAGAGAAAAGTTACTGCACCACGTAGGGGAGGGGAAGCAGTAGATCCATTAACACTAGACCGTTTGGGGGCTGCTGACTTAGTTTCTTCCATCAAAAGCACTCGACTGTGTCCTCTTCAGCACGAGCCATTTTGGAGCGCATTCCTTTAGCAGGGTAGTCAGGAATAAATGCCAGTACATGAAGTTTACCCACTTGTAATTTAGGCAAGGTAAAGAGCTTATTTGCTTCTTACTACCTGACCTAGAATACCGAACAGGTGAGTTGACCCACTTTTGTAACTCTGCCAGTTTACCACTGTCTTCACACATCCCTACGGGTACCGAATACTGGAGTTTGCAAGGTATTTCTGACGGACTTACTTACCTTGCAGCTCAGCGCCCCCTTACATTACCAGAATACAATTCAAAGCATTCAAAGGGCACAGAGGTGTGCAGTCACTTTAGCAGGAGGTGTATTTCCAAGGGCGTTTAGATGTCTAATCTCCAATTACTTTCAACAACACTGAGGTGATGATGGGCATGGCAAACCCAGAGCTGGATGCATTGGATGGGAGAAGGGCTCTGTAGCTGTTTCCCTGACACGTGCTATCCTGGAAGGCGCTAATCAAGAACGTGCTGCCGGAGTAGTAACTCCCCTTTATGGGGCAGGGCTGAGCATGGGACTCCATCCAAGCTTCAGCAGGCTGGTCAGCAGGAGCAGCCAAGCCTGGGCAACACCAGGGAACGGAGCTTGCAGATGCAGTTTTTTATCAGCTGCTTTGGAAACCTGCTGCAATTTTAATAGCCAGTTCTAGCAAATTGGACCAATCTTGCTTTCCTCAGCACAAGCCTCTGGTCCACAGAGGTGGAGAACCTCAAGCACGTGGCAGGGCTTCCACGTGGCAGGGCCACATGGAGATGCAAGCTGAAGACCAGAGCAGTGCAGTGTCTGTTCTGCTTCTAGTTCTGGGGGTTGATAAAAAATAGCTAGCTCAGGATCCCTGCCTGCTCCATGTGTACAAGCCCTCGGACCACATCTTCAGAAATCTCCTCCTGTAAGTTTGGCATCCTAGGAGTATCACACAGGGGCTGAACTGAAACACAGTGTAAGTCAGAGCAGCTCTGCTGAAATTCCCAGAGTTGCATCACATACCTCAGCTTTTGGTTTGTTCTGAAGCATTTTCCTACAAAGAAAAAAATAACGTGGAAAAGATTATTTGTGACCATCTGCTTTATAACTCAGGGGGCATTTTTATGAGGAAGGCCAAATCCACAAGGATTACATGTGCAAATAACGAGAACTGGAGATCTGGGATCTGGTTCCTTGCAATGCTCTTCCAGTTTTAATAGAAGTGGCACATATTTGCGTTTTATTATTTTTAGTATTGTAGTAGCACTATTACACTTGCCCACGCATGTAGCAAGAAACAGCTCAGCTGCAGTGGAAAAACAGACTGGTGAAGCGATCTGCTCATGATCTCACTATAAATCAACAGCATCTTCTCCAGTAGACAACACTGCCTGCCCACTCCCATCTCCTCTTCCCTTTAGTCTACTCTTCTGCAAGACCAAGCAGAGCAAGAGCCTCCATTCTTCTCCCTGCCATTTCTGGTTGTTTCTTAAGGGGGAGCGGGTCATTCCAGGGTTGCTGCTGCTGCTATATGGCCATCAGCACAGGTCCTGTCTGGACGGTGTTTTTTAATCAACCGTATGCTCGTCCTATGCAAGCTTCCATTTCCCCACTTTTAACCTTGCATCTTTCCTGCTCCTTCTTGATCCTGCAAAAACTTCTGCACAATCAAATCCCTTCATGCAGCTTTGTGTCTTTGCACGAGTGGAATGATGCCCAAACTACTTTCTTTTCTACTCTCAACTCCACATTGCCTCGTTCTTCAGTTCCATGCATCTTATTCTCTAGCTATTTTTTGGGGGGCATCCGATCATTGTCAGAATCCAACTCTGAAGTAATCAGAACAGGAACTAAGTCGCTTCCAGGCACTTCCAGAATATTTTCCATTGGTAACTGGCAGACAAGACAATCAATGAAGTTCACATAATGGTAGAATGCTCTCAAAGATCAGGAACTTCAGCTCTTTCCATCCTACATGCTGGAATCATTTCACATTTAGGTTGGTACAAAGTTATTTCTTTCATCTTGTATGGTCCCAGATCTCCCAAACCCCACTTTTTTTTCTGGGATTGGCAGAAGTAGGGCATGCTACCAACGGCATTCAGCACTTCATGGGACCACGCCTGAAAAGCTGGAGGTATCATGTATGACACAGGCAGGTTTTGATTTATTTGGCTCTATAAATCCCACACAGTCCTCTTTTTGAAAAGCCCAGAAAGAGAACAGAGTCAGAAAAGGTGTGGTGACTGCGAATAATGCATTCTGCCCACGTGCTGAATTAATGAGGTCCAACTCAGATGTTACAGGTGAGATTTTAGATTTGCTGTGGCTCCCAGTCTATACAAATCGCCATGTAGACAGCAGAGAAATTTGATCTTCCTCATACTCAGAAATATTCAGTTTTCCATGCAACAGGAGACTTGCATTAAAAGATTATAATTTTGAAGCACTGACAACATCTGTCTCAATGCACAATTACAATTAAAGCATAAAATTCGGGGGTGCAAGTGATGGCTTGGAAAATGATACAGGAAATACAATAATACCATCATTTATGCTGCTGGTACACCTTCAGCTGGAATGTTCTGTTTAGTTCTGGCCACCCTAACTCTAAAAAAAGGCTACGGCAGAAATAGACTCAATTTAGAAATAAGAGATACGATCATTAGAGTCCCCGTAAAGACTGAAAACACTGAAGATGTTTAATTTAGAGAGAAGGCAAGTAAGATGGCTTGAAATGTATGTGAGATCATTAAGAAAAGTGAAATAGTGAGCTTCTGCCATATCATATAAAACAGAAGAATATCAGCATAAACTTAAAAAACAATAGATTTAAACTTGAAAGAAGGAAGTAATTGTACAAACAGTGTTCATTCTCCATTTGTAAACTGGGATGGTAATTTACCATGAAAGCCGTTTGGAGCAACAGATATAAAAAAAAAAAATTAGTAGTTCACTCACAGCCATAAGGGCCAGTAAGATCAGTTGTAAGTGAAGTACATGTGGACACATATGGACTGTATGGACCATTGCTCTGTTCCAGCATCACTGTTCTCAGAGTTACTCCTAAAAGAATTGGTATGTTTTGGTCTGTGCTCAGCAAGATGAAGAGCAGGGATGTACTGCGGAAAGGAGCTGTCCCATTAGCGTCGGTGTGAGCCCGTGCCCGTGTCTCATTGCGTGTGCCCCAGGAGAGAGGTAACTAATACAGCTTGGTCAATGTGTGTGATATTTCTCTTGCTAGAATGAAAACCCAGGCCTAGGATTCTATAGTGTAACTCATCAGTCTGCAGAGATCAACAGCACCTCATTGTCAAAGAAAGGAACTCGGTATTTCTCTTCACTGGTAAGAGGAAGCATTTTATTTCAGGCTGATTTCCAAAGCTGCTAAAGTCACCTAGTGGCTTTGCACTGACTTCAGTGGACTATGGATCTGGTCTTTAACTGACTCTGTCGACTATGTCTGCAATACCTTTTTAGTGCTGTATTTGGGATGTTTCGAAAATCCAACCAAGAAGGAAAATCATTTCTCATTGTCAGACAGTTATAATTAAGGTGGAAGTCCAACAGCTATTCTAAGCTGCTTTTTCATATGCTCTTACCTTTTAAATTTCTACTGGGGCTGAAATTTCCTTTGCTCAGTCTCACCCAGAGGTGGCCCTTTTTCATTTTGCATGAACCTTTTCAAGCAAAATTGGCAGAGCTGTTGTTAAGTTACCAAAGTGTAAAGAAGGATCCATACACACACACTTTGTGGACTCATTTAGTATACTGTACTAAGCTCTCTGAAATTCATAGCTAAAGTGGATGATTTCAGGACCTGTTCTCTCTAACACAAGACTTAAAGGTTGTCTTTAAGGTTTCTTTTGCAAGCTGATGGGCATCTCCACCCCAAAAAGAAGAAATCAGTGAAACTTAGTACCTGAAAAAGTCACTCTCGCCCCCATTTCATCTTGTAGCACTTGCAGCCATCAATTCTGCACAGCAAAGTTTCTGCTGTTTTTAAAACGCAAAAGGTGATTTGTCCTTTAAAATTACATTTGGTAAATTCCAGGCCTCAGTTACTTCCCAGTTTCTTTCCGAGTCAGCTACTGACAGTTTCCTTGCTCCCTCTGTTTCCAGGTTCCATGCACGGGATGCAAGAAAACCTCCAACTATCCAGCTGCAAATGCCTACAAGATCGTGTTTTCAGTCCAAGCAAGACTTTAGCAAGGGAAACTAGCACGTTTCAACAACCCATTGCTAGGAAGATTGAGGAAATCCCCACTCCAGCACCCAATCAGTACTATGTAAGGAGATTTGGAAGGGAGGAGAAGGCGGGGGCACAGCTAATCTGTAATGTTTGTGAAGTGACATTTGATGTTCCAGAAAACACTAGAACTAGCTGTAACCTACCTAGTTGGGGTACAGCTCTCGGGGTACAGCTCTCAGGTTACGTCTACAGCCACGTCACTGGCTTTGATACTGAAAGACCCCATAGCACCCCATGGGTTTTCATCCCAGAAATCTGACCTGCGTTGGTTGGTCATAGGGAACTTCTGCCAAGAACCTCAAGGCAGGTGAATGTTACATCGTTAACAGGTACTGGGTTTTGAGGTTCAACCTCAGAGCTGGGAATCAGGTCTGCATACGTACAACTGATGTAATTGACTGTGCCCTTCCACTTGCTGTGGAGCTGTGCCAGTTTATATCAGCCGAGGACCTAGCCTTCAGGTTCCGTTCCTGAACCTCCTGCTGATTCACCCTTGTGTAAGTCACTTAACTGTTCTGTGCCTGATGCTCCCCACCCATGCCACGGTGACCAGGCTTCACTGGGGTGTTGTAAGCTTTAGTCCGCAGGAATTCAGAGTGTGTTCTGAGATATGGAAGATGTTAACAAAACACAGTGTTATTAACAATTATCAGATAGCTTATAATAACATACGCACTGCTAATGGACTTGCCTGTCCCTTCAATGGTGTCTTGCTATAGCTGTGATTACTTTTGGATGGTTTTGTTATTCTTTAGAGAGACTTTTTGTCTTTTTCTGCACAGCATGTCTGCATTGCAGACGTTTCCTAGTGAGCTGTCCCCTTTTAAACTGCACTTTAATGCAAGATACATCCACTGCGTGGTGAGGCAGAGCACATTGACTCTTTATAATATTTGATGACTTTGCATAGCTGTTTAAGACAGAATGAAGATGACACAATTTAATAAGCTTAATAAGTTGCCATTCATCAGCTGAGACATCTTAACTGGCTGCATGCATGTTCTTGAAGCAATTCATGCTTTTATAAAGTAATTTGATACAGTTTAAACATCAGCAAAGGTGTTTTAAACAAACATGTCTTACCTCACAATTTGGGTGTGCAAAGAGCACACGTACAGAGTTACCAAGACTCAGCTGACATGGGGTAATCACGTTAGCTCACACAACCTATACGCTAAGACTGTGAACTTTCTTACAATGACTCACTCCGACTGAATATCTGCCCCAGCATGTTCTAAGTTGATTAAACTAGTTTGCAGGCCATAATTATTTTCTATATCATACTATAATGGATTCGCATCATATTATTTTTAACATTGTAAGAATTTGCTTCTGGGAACGGCCTTCTTGAATTAATCACTGACTCATGATTTACTGTAGGAGATAATATCTAACCTACAAGAGGCAGAACAGGAAACTATCTATTTAAAAGATGGCAGTGTCTGATAGTTTATGACTATAGACAAAGAGACATCTGAGAAGAAAAAGAAGGCCAGATCCTGCAGTCTTTATATGGTCACTGCTCTCAGTCAGGCAAAAAGGAACTTTTGTCTAGTAACTGGAGGATCTGCTTTTGAGGCAGCAACAGTTGAAAGTTGACGAATATTGGAGAAAAAAAATGACTGAGAAACAAGAAAACAGCATCCCAAGCTGTCCTCAAAGCTCTGGGACCGAACACTATATTAAACTAAAGCCAGTTAAACATCGTGACTATTGTAGGCATTTCACTAGCTGAATATAGAAAACATAAGAAAAAAAAACAGGGAAAAAGCATCAGTCTTTTTGTGTTTGGATCTTTTATGCAGGTTTCTTGCTACCTCCTCACTCTTGTGCATGAACTGGACTCTTCCACTTAGATCAGTGAATTAGCCTTGACTGTTAGATGTTTTCTCTAACTATAGCCTGGTTAGAAAAAGTCCATTTCAGCAGCCAACAATAAAACGCTTTAAATCCTGGAGCACGTTCCAGGAGGTTAGGCTTCATCCTGGGAATTCGAAGAATCTCCCTTTGTCCTATTTCACTGTGATCTATTCTGTGATTCTGGGTAGCTTGGCACCATAGGTTTTTTGACTGTGTTCCTTACAGAGCAATTCTCACTTTGAGTGTGAGGCTCCTTAGGAGCTGTGGATGAAATGTGTTTCTATGTATATTTTGTAGAAGAGCTGCAGTGTGCACCAGAGCAGTGACTGCAGCAGGTAGCAGAGCGCTCCAGAGGAGCAATGTGACCTGCTCCCCCAGGGACTTTTGGCACCTCTGTTCAAGTTAATTGGCTCGGGGACCGCTAACAGCAAAACAACCATGCTGCACAGTGAGCTTGGTGCAAGCTGCAGGAGGGCACAAACGCTCCAGCAGTTCCCTGCAGGCTTGAACGAACTGAAATACAGATTCTTCAAGTCATCCTTAGCTCAAAGCCATCAGCCCACCCTGCAGTCCCAGCAGCAACAGCCACAGATACATCTCCTTTTCTCTGTGGCGCTTTCCAGGGGCTTCCACGCAGATGCCCCTTTGGTGTCTTGGCAGCACCACCTCAAATTCTGTGCTCAGTTGGTGACTTGAACAAAACCGGACACGTAGAGCTGACGTCGGAGAAGTCTGGAGACAGCAGTTAAACACACAAAGCCACATTTTCTGCAAGAGTTTCAAGTCCCTGGCGCCTGTGTAAATGTGACCTTTACATGCTGGGCGGTCACAAAGAGCGCTACCTACAATTGGTAAGCACTCCCAGATTTTGGCTCTAATAATGCCTACAGCTGTATCATTAGAATCACTCACAATGGAGACAACTGGATTTTAAATGTGGGTTTTCCTTTGTTGGTAATTACCCACAGGTAAAGTCAATTCAAAGGCATTCACAAGCCCTTTTTCTTTTTTCTGAAACAGACCTCTATGTTGCTTTGCTTGCAGAAATCCAATGTTTCTGGCCAGACGGTGTTTGTGTCCAAAACCACAAGAGGATTAAATTTGGAAAAATTTGGAAAATGGCCTTCCCTGTGTACGTGAGCCTTGAGCTGAGAGGAAAGATGTTGCTGGTGATTTTGGTTCTGATTCTCCAGGGTGCAGAGCACCATCGCACACCAATTCAGGTCACTCAGAGCTTCTTAAGGCATGTTAGATTTAAGCAGGTGTTGGGACACTAGTGAGTCTCCCTTCCAAGAGCTGTCGGTAGGTCCCTTTGAACCTCTGCTGAGACAACCGTCCGAAAACCATCCTGACAGTTTTGAGTAGACATAAGTAATCACTAGAACACCCCACAACTCAGTGTAAATGCCAGCGGCTTCAGGAGAAGCCACATTAGTGCATAACGTACCAAGCTCCACAGTACTCTAGCTTTAAAAGAGGTCTACTCCTGGCCCATTGCCTGGTGAGCTTTGAGACCTGGAGTGTGAGGGCTCGTAGCTTTGTAGCTTCTCACAAGTTATACCACGTGTGCGTTCCCCTCCTGTTTGTTTGATTCTTTAAAATTGCTAATATCTCCATTTGTTCCTATGCTCAGGACAAAGTTTAGAGTTGCTTTATCAGTGTCCCTCGAAATAAGCTCTGGCCAGGGCAGCACTTTTTAAATCCAGAAGTCATTTCCCCACGCAGTCCTGTTATACCGGTTCTTTTTCCTGCTATTACATTCACTGACTGATGCACTCTCTTTCCTCAGTGCCACTGTTGCAGCCTTGTTTGGTACTTACATCCCTTTCCTGTTTGTTTTGTAGACATCATCGATTCCCTCATCAAGATGTCTCCCAAGGGTATAACATCTTGCTTCAAGTCAAAGACCTCCCGCCTAACAAGGATGGACAGATTTACTCCAGAGCCTGCCACATAAAGCTACCAAAGAAGCAAAGAAAACTCCTTTCAGGTAAGTCCAGCCTGGAAGACATGCCACTTTCATGGGACATATGAAAATACGTCACAGCAGAGTGATCCCGCAGTGTCCCACTATATCGCCCGGTCCAATGTGGCCAGTTATTGCCAGAGGTTTACAGGAACCATCTCAGAGGTGGAAGTGTTACAGTGCACTGCCTTGAAGGGGAGTGTGGGTTGATAACACCCTGGAGCAGTGTATCAGAGGTTCCTTTATCAGATGATCTCTCAGACATTTACAAACAGTAATTAAACACTGCACCACCCTTATGATGTAGGGGTAATTTCTTATCCCCATTGTACAGAGCAAGAAGCCAGAGCACACATGACCTGGAAAAAGATCCTTCACATCCCAGGCAGAGGCTTTAAGCACTAGGCTGTGTTTCTTTTGCATTGCCAGTGCCTAACCTCACCCCCAGAGGAGCACGCTGGGCATAAAGAGTCAAATCTGGGAACCACTGGGCAGGAACGGTGAGGGATGCTCGTGGCTGCGCAGCAGCTCAAGGAACCTGATGGGTAAAGCATGGGCATTTCCTCAGCCCTTGCTAAGGCTGGGAATTAGAGCTGGAAAGAGGCTTGTAAAACTTCCAAGTACTTCCTTCAAGCCAGAACTGCCATTCCCACGTATTCCATCCTACCGCTTGTTTCAGGGAGATTAAAAGTCATGAAAGGAAACTCCCTTCTCCCAAGCCCTCCTGCCCCGTGGTATCCTCATGAGAAGACAAATAAATCTGCCTATCAGCAAATTGTTCAGGTAATTTTATTGTCACCATACAGTGACGTTGCCTGGCCTAAGATTAAGATCAACAATAAATTCCTGACCATGGAAAAGAATGAGAACATGAGAAAGCCCACGGCTCTCCTTACCCAACAGGTGTATCTTTACTACATCTCTCAGCAGCTGTATCTTATAACAGGGGTTTTGTAAAAAGAGTGGGAAGCTGTAGGCTGGGAGGGAAGCAATGCCAAGTGGCATTTGATAAGGACAGAGGGCTAGAGGAAAGGGCAAATTAAATAAGAGGAGAGAAGATCGCCAGTCTGTATTATCAGAAAACACAAAAACACTCCACACCCAACTGCTGGGGTTAGAGCCTGCTCCCTCTCCCGTGTCAGTCAGTGGGAGAGAATGGGAGGAACTCCCGGTTGGAGTCATTTGGCATCGCTCTCTTGGTTTCAGTGCTATCTCGCTCTGGAGTAGCTGAGCAGCCAGGTCTCTACAGAGGCTGGACCAGTGGCAAGTCTTTGTATTTTACAATAAACAAGTCGGGCTGTCTGTGGCATTGCAATTGGACCCTTTTTTCCCCAGATCATTTCCCAAAGATTTTGGCTTAGGAGGATAAAGCATCCACCTCCCCAGGGCACTTAACAGAAACCACAGCTTTTATTTCCAGACATAAAACCCCATCAGCGTGGGACAAGTTCCTCAAATCTCTTTTTCTCCTGACAGGCAGAAATTCTGCTTGACTCTCTCTGCTCCAGCCATCCCACCTTGTAAAGATCCTCCTTCGCCTGGGCCTGGGCAGTACAGCCTAGTAGATTACAAAGGGTCTCCAAAGCAGGACTGCTCAAGTGCTGTGTTTGTCTCAAACACAGGGAGATGGATGGGGAGCATGTCACAGGAAAGGTTCCCTGGGCCACATAAAAATAAAAACTGTTCTGAAGTACTTCTCACTACTAGAGACAGCACAACACAAATGTGACTAAACAGTGCTGTTTGCCCACTCAACAGGAAAAACAATGAAGCACAGAAATTAGGAGAGCCCACCTGCAAAGGCACGTGGACACCTGAAGACACATACAATTTCTAAACGGCACTTAACTCAGTAGCACGTGGCATGTAGGACCTTTTGTGAATGGGGGACAGTAGGTTTATGATGAGCACCAAGTGTCTAAATTCTTATAAGATCAGAGCACAGCGTCTCCTGGCACCTTTAGATGGTCTAATATTGCTGCCAACCTGGGCTGAATGGTCTCCAAAGGGCCACGCAGCAGCAATGTGGCAGAAGCAGCACTAGAGTCCTGACTACCAGCTCTTTATCCAACTTGTTCATCTGTATTTTACAATATTATTTTTAAAGGCAAGATTGAAAAAAGCATGTTTGCAATGCAAAGGCCATTAAAGTATCACTGACTGTCAGTGGGTTTGACAAACAGGTTCTGTGAGTTCTGGTGCATGTGTAAAACTATCACACAATTCTGGCTGTTGGTACAACAGACATTTCACCTGCAATATTTTTCTATTTGATTGGAAGAGACGAGCACTTGCAGGGAGAGAGGAGAAAAAAAAAAAAAGCATGCCTTCTTCCAGTAGAGCGAGCCTCCGTGCCCCAGCTGGAGAGCAGCGTTGCAGAGCACCTCAGCACAGTCTCCTTGGTTTTATACCCCTCTGGCTGCCCTGTCCTCCATAGGCTTCACCGGAGCTTTCCTGACGTAAAGCTGAGTAAAACCGGAGAAGAAACACATCCTGCAGCTTGTAATCAGGAAGTGTCTGGTGAAGCGGGAGGAGGGACCCACCCTCAGTGAGGAACGGTCTTACCACGCTGACTTACAGTGACACGCCACCAGTCCCTCCAGCCAGGACCAGCGGGCAGCTGCCTGACTCCTGCAGGCAGTGGTCACGGCTGGAGTTGTTCCTCAACGGCGAAGGGACAGCTCACACCAGGAACAGTGCCGAATTTTGACCCTGACATTAGCATTGATAAGAGAGAGGCAGATGCAGGGACAAATCCTGCTGCAGTGTCCTTGTGCTGAGCAGTTCTTGACTGCGTGGATACGGAGCTCGTCATGGGGTGGAGGTAGAGGTCAGCTCAGCCTGGGTGGATCGTGTCCCTCAGTGCCCGTTGGCTAATTGTTGCCAGGCGCAAGTAACATTATTTTTTCAGTTAGTCAGACTCGTATTTCTTGCCCTGTTTATTTCTTCTAAGATTCTTAAGTCCTTCTGGGAGGTTACTGAAGGGCTGGAAAAGCAGACAATAGCAATACTGCTATTCTTTCTAGCGTTTGAGCTTACCCAGCTGCAGATTTTGTACCAGCCACCGACAGCGAGAGGACACACTGGTGCCATTAGTCTCTCCAGGGCCCTTGCGGCCGCACAAATGGGGTAATGGGCTTTTCTGGAGTCATGTCCAGATCGTATCCCGGACTTGCAACGTACCGCGTCAAGATGCCAACTCCCCGAGAGCTGTTCCGCTGACTAAGCTAGGACAAGATCCCCAGCCAATGTAAATCAGCCTGTTTCAGTTAAAGGAACAGAGCTAGGCCAGTTTATTCATGCTGAAGATCTGGCCCACAGTTGTTAAGGATGGTTACCAAATTAATTAAAGAGGAAGGGAATGGGCTAGAAACACCTTCTGCCGCTGGTGGAGAAATGTCCTCTTTCATCTTCATCAGTCTTTTATGCCAATTTGATTAGAAACCCATGCAGTACCATGCCAGTGCATGAAAAGGACAAGGGGACGCCATCACCACAAAGCCATCCATGTAGTCTTCGCTCTGTTGCTAGAAAAAAAAAAAACCCCACATCTCCTTTCCACTCTGGCCTGAAAAGAGGGGAAGAAAATTCCACTGGATCGAAACTCCCAGTCATGAGACGAGAGGTGGCTTGAGCCCTTTGCCCACAAGAACGCACAGTACGTACAGGACTATTCTGTACTCTACCACAACGAGCAGAACTACAGGGGGGCAAAATACTTTGCAATTAAATCAGTCAGTGGCTGACACGAAGCAGCAGCTTTAGTAAAGGCTGGTTATTCCGCAGTTGTTGATGCCTGGGCTGTTTGGAGCCGGGGTCTCAGTGTTTCTGGGAGCTCTGGGTAATCCCTTGCACAGGAATCGGTCAGATGTACAATCGAGACAACCCTCGACACACTAAAGCTAACCCAAAGTCCGGCACAGCAAATGTTGGCACTAAACTCTAATTCTGTGGCCAAGGACGCTTTCCAGCTGAAGATACCAGGACATTCGCACCGGCTGAGGGTTTTAGTACCAGTCTCATCAGTCAGAAATTTAGTTATACAAATCCAAGGAACTACCCGAGGAAATGGGTGAGAAAGCAGAGCGGAGGGGGCCCTCTCTGCCTTCATTAAAGCTTTCCACGCTGCGAAACAGATGCAGGCAGAGTTTCGTTTTCCTCTGTCTTTGATCCTCTCCGATACCCAGCCCAGCACCAGGGCACCTCCAAACACAACGTGTGGGTGTCCTAACAAAACACAGGATGCTGTTTTTCCCTTTATAGCGATGGAGAACCACACCACGCACCGAGATCCTCAGCTGCTTGGTTGATGATGCAAGGAATGAATAAGCATGAATAAAGACACAGAAACTGGGTGTTATTTGTGGAAGCGAAGAGCGGAGCCCTCCGCCCAGCGCTGGGGATACCAGAGCTCTTGCACAACTCGGCTCACATGCTGCTCCGTTTCTCTTTTTTTATCCATCTCTCTCATTGCAGGTGCTTATTCAGCCGGAGCACTCGGGAAGTATTTCTTCGTCTACAGCTACGGTAGGAAGCGGCTCCTAGCGCTGTGAGCGGCACAACCCGGACACCAGAGCAGGGTTCCTCAAACGGGACTTCCGTCAAACGCTGCAAAGCACGAGCTAACTCGCAGTAAGCAGTCCTGTCCTCAGCCTGCCGCGGCTGGCTGGCGGATAGTTCAGCAGCTGATTAGCGGTCCTTGGTACTGTATGTTGGAAGATGATCATTAGCTAAAGGTGATTGAAAGCTTCCAGTTTTGTAGATGTTGAACAATTACTACAATTAATGGGAGTTGCAAAAAAACTTCTCTTGGTGATTTCATCTGAGCAACCAAAGAGAAAACAGGTGCCGGAGACCACCCATGCCCATAGGAGATGTTACCCTTTTCCTTTTCTTTTCCCTTTTCCCCTTTCCTTTTTCCCTTTCTTTTCCCCTTTCCTTCCTCCTAAGAAAGGAGTCCTTTCTTATCAGGGTAGAAATACGTGAGAAGGGCAGCGCGGGCAAATCCTGCGTCTCTGCCGCTTGCTCGCTCAGGGGATGGACACTGGGTTTGCCACACAGCGTCAGGCCTTGGCGCAGCCGAAGGACGCCGCCTGTGCAGAACGCGTGTCAAACCTCCACGGTGCGGGGGTGCGTGTGGCCGGACACCCTCCGCCGCACGCCCGCCAGGTACATTTTACAAGCCAGTTGACTCGAGCGTTTCTGACTCGAGTCAGCACGAACCAGCTGCCGACTGTCCAGAGCAGATTCCGCTCCAGAGGAAGCCGCTCTCATTTGTCAGCGCGAGCCCTTTGCAAAACACAAGTGGGTTCATACTTTCACACGACCTTTGTTCGCTCAGAGGTGAATCGCCTTCATCACTCGTATCTTAATCTTCAAAAGGAACTGGTGGGCTCCAGGCAAAGAGTCAAGAATGCTTTCACATATTTGGGAGCTCCGCTTTACGCAACCTCTACAGCAACTCGCCTTTGCTGGAAGGGATGAACGATACTGAGCCAGTCAGCAAAACACCCACCCTCGGCAGGGGTGGCAGGGGGCGGTGACTGGGTCTGCTCTTACGCTGGCGTGAATCAACCGGCATTTCCCTGCACACAGCGGAGTCACCGTGATTTAAAACCTGACAAAGTCAGGATTACCCAGAACCTGCACAGAAAGAGCACCTGGTTCTCTGCCTCCATCCCACGAGCAGAAAGCGGGGGGAAGTCATTTGCGCAGCGCAGAGACGCACGGCTCCGGCCAGGGCAGTTCTCACCCTGCAAAACTTAGGACAGGTTCGTAGCCGGTGTGAAATGGACCACGGTAAAATCCAGCAAAATTCATCGCTCTTCTGCTGGGAACCTAAAGTTACCAGTGCCATGGTTTTTGCTGTTGTAAATTAGGAGCAACGCTACTAGAATCAATGGAGTTAGGCTAGCGTAACTGAGAAGAGAATCAGACGGGTAGTGCTGTGTTTACACTGGTAGGAAGTTACCCCAAAATCAGACTTTTAGAGCAACTAATTGAAGGGCGAGAGGTCGCCGAGAGCCCATAACATTGCGTGCACCAAAAAAACCACCCCAGAGTTGCCTGGAGCCCTCCCAAACCCGTACTGCACGGCAGAGCAAGCTGCCTCCACCACCAGGGGTTTCCCCAGGGCCCCAGCCTCCGCCACGGCAATGGCAGCTCATGGGGGAGAGCACTAGCGCTGCGCAGAAACCTAGAGCGAGCCGCCGGGGTGCTCCCAGCTCCGTCCACCTCCGTGGACGTCCATGTCCATGCAAACATGCTGTTTGTACCGATTCCTTGGGTTCAGGCCTCCCCGATGGCGTGGAGGACACGGCGCTTCCCCTGAACCGCCTACCCCCTTGTCTCTTACGGGGCTGGGTGCTCCCTCTCCCACAGGCAGCAGGAAACCTCTGTTCTTACCTCTACAGCTAGTCCTCGTCCGCGTGGTCAGGCAGGATCGGTTCACCCTCCCCAGGACCAGCCCCGCGGAGGCAGCGCTGGCAGGGTGCCCTGCGCGTGGAGTCCTGCCGCAGAGCTCTCCCCGAGAAGAACAGAGCCCCTGCGTCCGCCCGACGCACCAGGGTGACGAGGGGATCTGTGGATTTCACAGCCATCGGCGCGAAGCGCTGGGGGGTTCCTGGCGTGCCTGTTTTTAACTGGAACTGAAATTCTGCTATAGCAAGACTGTGGGCACAGCCTTGCAGAGCTAACAAAAAAAGTTTATGATATGAAGATGAAGGAGCGCAGAGCGCTGGGAGAGATCTCGTAAGGTTGATAAGCCTTCAAACTTATCTGAGCCTCATCTTAGAGGCCCTCCTCACTGCGATAACACCACCTAAGTAATCCAAAATTCACCAGCCTGATGGGTTTTGACAATTCAAAACCCCCTTCCCAGTGGGAGTAGAGCTGCTCTCTCTTCCCCAGTCACGGCACTCGGGCACACTTCCCCCTGACACGGACAGGAAAAGCAGAGGATGAAGAAGGGGGAGGAGGAGGAAAGTCCCCGGGTTTCACTGGTCAGAGGATTAATGAGAAAACGCAGGGCTCCCCTTGGTATTTTTTTAGCTAAATGGGAAGCAGCTGGAGCCAATTTTGGCACAGGGGACACAGGGGTGCAGGATGTGCGGCACACGCAGAAGAAGGTACGCAGCTGGCGGTTACACCGCCTCGCCAGAAAGGTAGGGGCTGAGCTGCTCCTCCACCGAGCAGAAGTAAAACAGGGCATTTCTTTTTGACTGGCGTAAAACTTCACCACGTCTGTGTGAGGTAATCCCTCCATCAAAGGGATGTGCCTACGACTGCTCAGCAACCTCTGCCTGCCCGCAGCGCCGTCAGCGGGCGCAGAACCGGGAGGGAGAGCCCAGCGTGCGGGAGGGGAGGGTGGAGGAGGAGTCCAGGCGCTGATCTGCCTGCGCAGGTGGAAGTGCGCGGATCGGCAGCGCCTGCCGTCTCTCACCCCTTCACGGAGAGGCAGTTCAGACGGACAAACTCCTCGTGCCGTTAAGCAGCGCGCAGTGCAAAACGAAGCCGGAGTCCCTCCTGTGCCTCTGAGGTCACCTCCCTGCCCTGGCTCCTGCCCAGCCCTTCCCACCTCCAACCTCCAGAGCTGGGTGAAAACAGTTCACTTTCCGTCTTTGAACCTTTATTACTACAGAATGTCCAAAACAACAAAACCAACAACACAGTTACAAAAGGAGTTCACGGAGAAATGTGAAGCAGCCTGTGTTTGAAATGCTCTGTGTCACCGTACTGAGTCTTATATAAAACAATGCATATTTATATATATATAAAATATAAAAGGAACAATACATCAGAAATGTATAAACAAGGGCTATGGAGGCCTGCGTGGTATTTACAGTCAGCGATACGGCGGGGCGGGGGGCACGGCAGCAGGCAGTGTCCGTTCAACAGTGGGTTTTCAAGGCATCTGTGAAAGTCTCTGTGGAGAGAGGGAAGCTCAGAGCCGGGCTCAGCGCTGCTGGAAATGGTCTGAAGGTTCCGCGTGACCGACGGTTTGGGAGAAAGCCAAAGCCTAGGGCTGGATCAGTCACGGGCCAAGGCAAACAGCGAGCGGAGGCAGTCCCCTGCCTCTGCCCAGGCTCTGACAGCCATGTTAGTGTGGCTTTGTGTTCCCAGCTGTGAAACAGAAGGTCAGGCCCATCGCCAGAAGGGAATAAAATAAAATAAAATAAAATAAAAAATAATAATAATAAACTCAACAGAGAGAAGTTCCATGTTCACATCGGTAACAGATCTTCCAAGCGGTCTCCGGCCCAGCACCGCGAGGCCGAGGCCCTCCCCAGAGGCAGTGTATTCAAGTAAAGGCAACAAGTTGAGGCACCAGGCTGAGTTCTGTGGGGTCAAACTTGCCGGCTTTGAGAAAAGTCCCAGTAAGTGCTGCCTGCGGCTCTTTATAGCTCCTTGAGGATGATCTGGAACTTGTCCTCTGCTTCCACCATGTCCAGGAGAAAGGCCATGTGGTTGCTGTAGTGCTGGATGATGTTGTTGTCCATGTTCACCAGGATCCTACAGGAGAGGGAGAACGGCTGGGTCAGATGCAGCACATGGAAAGGTTTGCAGAGCAGCTTAGCCAGGAGGGCTGGACACCACTGCACCCTCAGGGTTCCCAGTCACGGACTGGGAATAACATCACTGACAAAGCCTCGCGCCACGGGGGCCGGCCCTCTCCAAAATGTCTCCATACAAAATTCCCGTTAAAAATTGCCTTTTACTACCCTGTTACCGATCGGCGTGGCGTTACCGCAGCCGCGCCCCTCACTGCCTGCCAGCCGGCTGGGTTGGCCGCTGCCAGGCTGCTCCGGGAGCCACAGCCCCGGGCAGGCACAAGAAGGCACCGCAGCGTCCACCTTACCCAATTTGAGGGGCTCAGCCGTGATTAATCAATTAAAGCCACGATACAACACAACGGAACATCCTGCAGAGCTTTTCGCAATTCTACCCTCGACATGCCTAGGCCCGGCGTTTGCTACGCCGGCAAATTAATCTGGATTACAGCAGGGTGTGAATCTAGAGCAGAACTGCTCACTCCTCGCTTCTCGCCTGGGTGCTTTTAGGGGTGCGTTATTCTGAACAAGCTGAGACTGCTTTGGGAGCAGATGGAAGTGGTTTGGAATAGGACGCCTTTCTCCCATCCGGAACGACCTCCCATGCAGCCGTGCCCTGAGCATTGCCTGGGAGCCCCTTCCGCGAGGAACACACGCAGGCAGGCTGAGCGCAGGCAGCCAGCTGGGCCAGCCGGTGGCAAGTTCCTCCCCGTGCCGAAGGGCACACCTCCAACACAGCTCCTCTGACCTGGGATCGATCACATGGAGGCACGGGGAGAAGGAAACATTTCGACAGCTGACTTAAACCTGCGGCTGCGGTTCTGTGCCAGGCAAGAGCCCCTCATTATTGTAATGGAAGCAGCGGGGCAGCTTTGCATCACCCCACTGTGTTCCCATAAATCAGATGTGAAATTTGTAACTGTTTGGAGGAAACAAAGAGAACAAATTATCTTTCTTTGCAGAACGCACATCCCCTCCAGGTTCCTGCTGGGGTCATTAATGGGGCAATAGCATTAATTGTGCAATGCTCCGCACGCCAAGATTAAAAACAAGAAAACGAAAAGGCTGAGCATCCAACAAATCTAACAGTTTAACAAGCACAAACACGGGGCCCTGGTCTCCCTCCGGGGAATGCCCTGGAGGTCAGTGCAGCCGCACCGACTGGCTCCTGCCCGTTTGATCACAGGCTGGTCACAGCCCTGGCCCAGCGTGCCCAAATTTCAGAGGTGAAGGTGGGAGCTCTGTCCTCGTGTCCAGTCTGTTCTGGTGTCAGCTTTGTCCCAGGGCTCAACGCCGCGCTGCCTTTCAGCGGTGCACAAAACACTTTACCAACAGGCTATTAATTCTGTCACGGCACACTCGGGGAAGGGCAGCCCCCCCAGCGCAGGGGGAGGCCGAGACACAGGGTCTGACACCGTCCAGGGGTCTTCCCGGTGAATCATAACCTTCACGGCTGCATCTCACCTCCCGGCACCGGACAGGAGCAGTGCTGGGGCTGCCTGGGGGCAAGAGGCCCAGGCCCCCAAGCCCTGGATCCCAGGGAGCCTGGCCTCCGACAGGTGCCCCCAGAGAGACAGCGTGGATACCCAAGGGTGGGTTGTCACAAAAAGCCTTGCAACAGAGCTGCTCCAATTATCTCTGGCTATCTTAGTGCAGGAAGCCAGAGAAGTCACCTGTGCCTCTTGCTACCGTGCTTCCATCTGATTTCTCAACCACAAAAGATTCAAGGGAGCGCTGATTAGGAATCTGAGCCCTGTATTGTTTTTCTAGACCAAACCTCACCAAGATACGAAATTACTTATTATTGCTCTTGAGTCACCCTGAGACTAAGTTCATCTGAATGAGCTCATCACACTAAGAGGGCCCAGGGCTGACAGTAGGTCCTCACCTGCTGTACATCCAGGCAGTACCACTGAGTTTCACTAGTTTACACCAGATGAAGATCTGGCCCTCAAGCTGTAATTACCAAGAGAGGATTGTTTAGGGTGGAGCAATAGGATAAAATTATTCGAAGGAAAATTAAATCTGGGGGAGCAGGAAACGGTGTCGGACCCTGCCATCTACTAGACCGGAGAAAATCTTGTATGTCCCCCACGCTTCAGCAATAACCCATGGCATCAGTCACGTCCAGCTTTCATCAAACTAGGTGTCAGACTAATTTCCAGGTGTTGCCTTTTCTTCTCATTAGAGACCTCTTTGCTCCTCCATTTTGGGGAAGGGATGGAAAGGACATCTGCCTGTTTTCCCTCCCAATCATTATTAAACAACATTCACTACTTATCAGATCAAGTAATGGACAAAACCAAAGCAAAACAAAGTATAGGTGGCCTCTCCCCTGAAGCAGTGCCACTTCCTGGTCCACCTGCAAACTCATCAGCGCTTGGATCTCTCTTGCCGCGCAGATGCTCACAGTCAGCTGCTTCAGAAAACTCCAGCCCAAGCTGGAGTTACCCGAGAGGAGTTGTTGTCTGATGACAGTCTGATGACCTGTGATCGCCACATCACAAGCCACCACCACAGCTGACACACCTGAGTTTTGGCTCAGTCCTGAAGCTGCAATAATAAACTGCCCGCCCCTGTCCTTCGCAGTTGTTCTTCTTCAAGATCAGACTTGAGGCACTCTCTGACCGAAGGTGTAGGGGACAACCCCTCTCTTGAGGCCACCAGTGTTGCTCTTTTTCTCTGGGGAGAAAATTTCCATTTCTGGGGCTAGTGGATGGGCAGCATCTGACAGCGCTGAGGGCCCTGAGTTCAGGACAGGTGGAAGAGCCTCCTGACAAATTCGGATACCTCACTATGGCCCATCCATAATCTTAAAATGAGGACCATATCTAAAACCCCTCCTAAATGGGGAAAGGTTGCTCAGTTGTAGATTTGGAGGTGAGGGGGTTGTAACAGCTTCCCAGTTCAGTGACACCACATCACAGCACGGAGGAGAAACCACTGCCTCTCCCCCTCCCACCTTGCAACTGCCTCCAAGCCTCACTTCAGCTCTGCTCTCCTAGCAGCAAACAGGCTAAGTCCCGTGGGGATCGAGTTATGGCGACACCAAACGAGTTGGAAGATCCCATCCGAGGAGCTTTAGGACTTTCTCATCTCGCTCTCACCAGAAAGCAAAGGCAGAAGCAGAGCTTTGGACTAACCCAAGGACACTGTTCCCTTGTTTTGTTACGCAGAGGACCTCTCTGGGGGGCCGTGCTAGTGAGAACAGCGGGGCTGCGTAACGCGGGACCTGTCATCAGCCTTGCTTTTCTGCCCATCTCTCCCCATGCTCAAACTCTGGACCAGGGCCAGCAACAACAATGAGTTCATCTCCCAGGCAGTCACTGCTGCTTGCAAAGCCTGATTGTATCTCGCTCGCTCTGCAAGAAGGGCTCTGGATTTAGCTTTATGAAAATAAACTTGGGAGTTTATGAGTCGTTCCCTTTCCATCGGCTGAAGGGAGAACTCGCCGCCAGAGATGGGGACAACCCTGAGGGAGTTCTTAGTCCAGAAAACATTTCTGAAAGTAGCGCTTGGCTCCACATCAAGACCACCGCCCTCCACGGAAGACTCAGCGGCTGGTCCCCAGCTCACGCAAACTAGCAGCGTTCCCTCTCAGCCATGGGGGAGATCCACATGGATCGGTCACTAACAAACACCACGTTGAAATCACTTGAGAAGCCATTTCACATTTACTGCAAACCCCACCTGTCACCCCCCAAAGAGCTACGCCTTCTCCCAGCAGCGCCTGACAAGTGTCTCAAGTGGGACCTGCATTTCTGTACTGGGGCTGCACAAGAGCCACCAGTGCCCAGAAGGGTCTGATCCATCACCTCCCACAGTGAGTGTGAAGTTTCCTGTTGACGTCCCTGGCCCGGGGCTGGGATGGCGAAGCTGGGAACAGACACTCCTCTTTCAGCTCTCCCCCCTTCTCCACCGGGGCTGCCCATGCTCTTATTTAGCCGGTACAGGCTCTTTCTGAGCCAGGGACATTTAGGCACTTGGTTTGGAGAAGCAAACATTTATACCTCTCTGATGGCAGTAAGATAAGTTCTCCATAACCTCCGGCTTTTAGACTAAGACACAAAGGATCATCCATTAAACCACCCAAACAATTCCTCCTTCATCCAACTTCCTTTTCCTGGGAGACTTTACACTCCAAACAAATATAATACAAACAAGCGTTATCCCAAATCTTTAAAGCCCAGAAAGATCTGAGTTTTATATGCTCCAAATAGCACAGACTCACATGGCTTTACTTTTTATTATCTCGTTAAAACGCTATTTCAGCCTATGGCAGGGTACCAAAGAGAATGGGGTTTTAGAGGCACGGCATAAAAGCAGATGAGAGATTAGCTTACCCTCTTTTGCATTTTTTGTAGACTTTATAAATGCTTTCTTCAGGAAGCCCATATTTTTCCGAAATCTGTGAGAGAAAACATGGCAATTCTTTGTACTTGTAAAATGAAATTCCTATGATAAAAATCAAAGATAACACTGAGCCAGGGGTATTCAGCAGCAAAGGATTCCCCCTCCCTTTTACTCAAGAAAAAAGGGCCGAAGCAATGATCTGAACAGGACAATCTGAACATGTCTCTGTCCCGCAGTGGGCAGATGGGCAGGCTGCAGCTTGGCCTTGGTTCTCTTTCTGCCGGCTACTGCCAGGCCAGGAACCTGGGGGAAATGATCTTCATTTTCTTTCTCTCATTCCCTGGCCTGTTTGGGGCTCGATGCTTCAACCAGCTGGGCACAGAGCGCGCTGAGCTTTTCCTTTGCTGATGCATCCAAAGGCGAGAGAAACTACAGAAAGTGTTTGACTGTGTCTGCTGTGGGTGCATCTGACTGCAGCTTTTGCTTAGGTTTTAGCTGATCTGCAAAGCTTTCCGGCAGACCTCTCCTAGGCAAGTACAGCTACGGTCTTAGGATGACAGGAGTTTGGTAGCTTTTTCACAAGCATTTTCAGTAGAGGTATTGACTCTTTGTGGTGAGGGATGGGGGAGGGAGAAGATGGCAAAGAATCCTCTGTGCTGACATTTTTCAAACTCTCTATTTTTAAAAGTTTGTAAAACCAACAGAGCTTAAAGTGCAGCCATAAAGCCACCCCAAATCTGGGAGGTTTACTGTTTGTTTCCTTCCCAGCAATCTCCAAAGAGAGGTGGGTTATCGGAGATGCTGCTGATAATCGTCACAGAAATATGTCTGTGTGCTCCTCAAACACAACACAGGGAATTCCAGCATGAGGCCAGAATGGGCTTCAGATTGCACATCTACAGCCTTAGGAATGGAAAGGGTGTTTTACAACGGAAAATATGAACGTGTTGTCACAAGAGGAGACTTATATTCTGATCTGAACAAAACCTCTTCCCATAACGTGTGTTATTCCCCGCTGTAGCACTAACACCACAGCCCATGCCAGGAGCTATGGGTAGAATTCACCTGCTACTCACAATTTCCATTTCTATTCTCAAGAGAAAGCAGACATGAGATACAAGCAGTCTTATGTCCAGCTTGCTATATACCAAGTACCATTGCCCTTTTATCTGCAGTTTGTTCGTGTGCCACAGTTTTTTGATAACACTTACAGCTGTTCTGAGGCCCTGGAGATCTGGTGTCTTCAACATGAGAGCGTCAAACACTTCCTCTGACTCCCTCCGCACATACAGCAAGACTGAAAGAGATAAAGCACAGCACTGAATCAGGGCTCTTTACAGCATTTCTCAGAGCGATGTGGCCTCTTGTAATTCAGGATCCAAGGTTACTTGACTCAAACGAAACACTACATTCAGGAAGAGTTCCCATCCCAGGGCTTACCTCTCTGAGGATCTTCTTCCTTGGTTTGCTTTGGAGGTATCGGGTCAAACTCATCTGTGAACGAGGCACCACTCCGTTTCAAGGGCAGCCTAAGCAAAAGGGATACAATACTCTCAAGAGGACAGAACAATAGCAGCGAACAAAACAATTCCAGCAACTGAACTTTTGACTGAACAACCAATTACTCCAACAAACATCCAGCAATTAAGTATCGGTTTTGTAATTACGGCAGCAGAGTGTCTACCAGAGTTGCAACTTCCTGCCTATCGCATACGGGGACATCAGTGAGTGCAGGCAGCGGTTTTGATATCACACCATAAACAAAAGCCTTTTGCACTTCCACGTCATTGCTCCTCTATTGATATCACTAGACAGTGGATCAAGCCTAGGGTAAATACTCGTTCTCCCCCCTCTAGACACATTACAAGTGTGATTTCTACTGCATTCCAGTTTATTTTACAGCAGTTTCTGCCTCTGGTTACTTGCACCCTTCAGTGGTAGTTCTGTGATCTCTTTTTTCCCCTCTTTCAAACATTGTCTCAATAAGAACAGCAGGACAGTCATGGACCAGACTCACGTTGGAGTGGCTCACTGACAGGAAAAGAAATGTATCTGTGTTTCTGCATCCCTTGAGTCTATTCTAGGCCAAAGTTTAACACATATTTTGGCACTCAAGGGCATCAGGGAGACACTGTGCTGTGTTATTTTGCACCTGTAGACATATACTGCCTATGGATATCAAACAACCATGACGTACCCAAAGAAACAGAGCAGCTGATGGATGGGAAATACAAACTGCTGCATCCTTACCTGTTTGCAGAGTTGGGAACAGCAGGAGGGAGCACCTTGAAATGGAAAGGAAACATTGATCTTTTAGTTTGCACAGTATCATTGTGTGCCACTGAAGCTGGGGGGAAAGGCAACGTGGGCACATTTTAAACATGATTTCCCTCCTCCCAGTCCATCAGTTTTCCTACGCAATTAAACCCAAACATCCGTATGTGTTTCTCAGATCAAATGAAACCTGATATAAAGAACCTGTCTAAATTCTCCTCCTCTGCCTGGAAGAGGCCTGAACACATATCTAGCTAGACCCAAAAGCAGGTCAAACCTCATAACCTGCTTGGGATCAAGGACCAAGTTTCTCAGCGAGTTCTTTGGTTGTAAACCAGATTCTTCTAGTCCCTGGTTTTGATGCTGATGCATCAGTGCAGCAGCCACTGCAATAGGATGCTACAGTATTGTCACAGATGGCTTTTTCCCCCCTTTTTGACAAACTGAGACAGTTGTTTCTTGAGGGAATACTGATGAGCTCTGAAGGACGCTGGGTCTAGGTTTCCTCAGGCTCGGGGGGATAGAGAAGGGCAGAGGACAAGTGAGAGATGTCCCACACATGCAGGGACTGATACGGTCGCATTTTTCTATAGTTCATTTTCTGCTGATATTTTTGCTAGCACTCCAGTCCTCTGTGGAAGCTGCAGATGATACCTGTAAACCACAGGAATATCTGGCTGGAAGGAACCTGGAAAGGTTATCTTGCCCATCGCTGTTGCATGACTATCTAGGCCACTCCTGTCAGCTACGTCTTCAAGTTCACCACATTTCCACAGAAGAATTGTGGTTTGGTTTTGTTTTTTTACATAACACAAGTCATGTCTGGGGACTGATCGGTTTGGAAATGATGGGGGTGACAGATGAGGGCAACAGGTTGGTTGTTTTTTGAAAGGACTTACCGTGCCACACCTCTGCAGGTTTGAAAAATGGACGTTGGGGATAAACAGGACTGGCTGGGTTTCGAGGTCAGTCTCTGGCCTCAGGAACGTGATTTCATTCCCTCTGAAGCCAGAGAGCAAACAGCCTTTCAGACCTACAGATGGAAAGTCCAGTTCATCTCAGTTCAGATGGCAGTTTAAGAGGCAACTACATGCAGAGAGGGGAAAGCACCTGCCCAAGGTCTCCCAACAGAAATATTAGAAAAAAGACGGGACCCTGCAGAACCAGGTCTTCTGGGCTTGCCCAGTGCTGTCTCCCCCAGGGAAGGCTCCCTGCCAAGACCCCAAGACAATTCAGAAAGGTTGGTTACTATTAATAAAGGGCTTTGAGAGCCTTGGTAGAAGGCCAGGCAAGGACCTGCCTGACAAGCTATTTCTGAATGGTGCTGATTTCATCAGGCTTAGAAATACCCAGGGCCAGATCTTGTGGAAGTTAACGGACAAGCCTACATGGATTTCAACACGCTTTGGATCAGGTAACAAACACTAGCACTGACCATTGTTATTGGAGTCCAGGCATTTTCCTTTCCTTCTGAACTGTTTCCTTTCATCATCTCGCATTTTCCTCTCTGCTCCCTGTGGGGACAATAAGGCAAAAATTAGGACATTGACAGTTCTAACATTGGCAAGAGAGGGTTTACTGACCATCTCTGGGAGGTAAGCACATTAAGGTAAAGGCAGCCTTTATTAAAAAACGCTCACCTCAGAGACCTTCTACAGGCCATCCAGAACTTTCTGATACTTATAAATTTAAAAACAAAAACAAATTTGCTTTCAGAAATGAAAAATGCAGACAAAAATAGCTGTGAGAAGTTTTTCCATGGGAAGATATCTGAGGCTGGGGAAGAAGGATTCTCATCTCTTCTGCTCTTTAAAAACTTGTCAAAACCAGGGTTTATTATGAGGCACAAGCCCATGTAGGTCTGACATAGGGAAAACTTTCTAATGACTGTTGTACAAAGGCCTCAGCAGTGCAGACACATCCCCGCTATCCCGTCTCACTCAGCTGAGGGGGCTAACCATCTCGATTCCTCAGCCCTGACCTCTAGGCTCTTCTAGATTCTCACAACCTTTCTGTTTTTCCTCCTGGAGTCACTGGCCACCAGTTTAAAATTCCTCTTGGACAACCTGGTGGAAAAGCAATGTTCTACCTTATCGCAGAATATCTTGATCTGGCAGACGGCGCGGTGCACCAGCTGGCTGGTTCCATTGCCGTAGTCGTAAGTGTCTATCTGGAGGTTGAGCGGGACACCTTTCACTCCTTTCTGGGAGGAGAAGTCAGTGCTCAGGCAATTCACCCCAATAAAAACCTGCAAATAGGAACCGAGATTGATGCAGCTTGTTGGTGCTGAAGACATTATTCTCAAACAGCAATGAGAACAGTGGGTAGGAACAAAAGCGGCTCCCGAGACATCCTTCCAACCCTCCCAGCGTCAGCCACGCATGTGAGCTGTTGTCACATGAGCATGTGACCCGAGCGCAACTACTGGTCCTTCCTAGCCACAGTCTCCCCCGACACCTATTGCAGCTCTCCATCTCTCTATTAACACTTAGGCTATCCACTCCCATCAGCTCAGGCAAGCTTCAGACGCGATGCAGTCTGCC